ACATGTAATCTTTTCTGCATATGACCAATGTATTTTCAATGCAGACTGTTTAGATTTTTGCAAGATTCAACTTTTGAGTTGTGAATTCTGCCTGAAAAAGTAGTTCTGGTTAGATTCCTAAGCATTTTCAAACCTCAACTGATAGGAATTTGAGAGACTGAAGCAGTTTGATTACTTCACTTATATAATCAGTTCTATAATTAAAATACTGTTTTTGTTCTTGCTTCTTTTTTACCTTTGGGTTTTTTTTTGCTTAGCAGAAGTTGGATGCGTAATATAACCACATATTAAAAGACTTACAAATAGCAAGAAAATAAACATTGCTTTCTGAAAAATGGTCTAACCCATTCCGCAGGTGTCATTTCTTTTTTTGTGAACATTACTTCCCCTTCTTGGTTACCTGTTCTCCTTCATTATGTTCTGTTCATGCTCTTCTTTTCATTTCTGGTCTGTCTTGTGTCTTTGCTGTCCTATCTTCTGTCTGTTGTATTCATTAGCCAAGGGAGCGAGATTTTTTGAAGACCTTACGATTGGTGAGTGCAACAGAAGCATGCGAATATGAACAGCATGAGGATGTGGAGGATGAGGATAAGGGGGTAGGTGTCGCCCCCATAACTTGACTAACCTAGCCGTTCCCATGCGGTGAGCGCTAACCTGATAGAGAAGTAACTCCTGGGTTCAGGCTCCTTTTTAGAAAAGTATAGAAAGGACCAAACCCACAGTAAGGTGGATGTGTATGTACCAAAAAATTGGACAAAGGAAATATTTTCTCTTTTAAATTCTCTTCAGAGAGCTAAAATGATTGAATTGTTTACACATTACTGTGCACCGCATGGTAATTAAGCAGACTTAAAGTACATGATGACATTTTAGTTAAACAATTTTATATACATTGTATATAAACATGGAAATTTTACACCCAGTCTGCTAATTTTTGTGCAAATTCACTCAGTTTCTGAAAGTGATATTTCAAACATGGCAAAAGTTATTGCTTTTTATGAAAGAACTTAGGGAAATTTTATTTAGTATTTAAGTTTCTGCTTTAAACTACACCTATTAGCAATAGGTATTTGATGGACATTTTTTACCTTTCTAATATGTCTCAAGGTATTTAAAAGGGAGATTTAAAAATCCAGTATCCCGATAGGACTCACAGAGCTGTTTAATCTCCGTGGCACTTAGTTGACTGAAGCTAACCTTTGCAAGACAGACGTGCTTCTTTTGTCTTCTACATACCTAGTGCGCCTCGATTTTATTGGAAATTGTGCTTTTGTTGGATCCAGTGGGTAAATTTATCAACATACTTATTTTTCCTTCTGTGGTGGGCTGTCTGTTTTATTATGGCACCTTTGGTTTCAGCAACCTATGCATATTGAAGAAGCCAAGCTGTCAATTGTCTTTTTTCTTTTTTCCCTTTGGAAGATTTTATGTGATAAATTTCAGCTCCATTCTTTATATTTTTGTTAAGCATTTCTCAGCTCTGTTTCCTTATGTTTTCCTTCATGCTAACTTGTAACGTTTCTTAAGGGAAACGGCATTAAGGAAAATAGTTCTCCTTTGTCGCTTTTCCTGAGACTGAGAAAATAATTGTGTCCATCCCCAAGTAGTATAAAATGAGTATAGAGTCCTTTCTGAGGATTGTAGTGTCCAATTTTGTGAAAATGCTAAAATAAAAAAGAGGAAATACATATTTTTAATTGGTTTTCTCTCCTTATCATGGCTAAAGAAACCTTCTCTGTCTTTCTCCTTCTTGGTGATTTTTATACTAACTGCATGCTACTTTATCTCATTTTCATTAATATGCCATATGTATATATGTGTGTGTGTATATACAATTGTAAAAACCCTCTTGCTAATAGTGTTCAATAAGAAGGTAAAATGATGAATGATATTTACTTATTTTTGTGCCTCCATAGCTAAGTAATTGTAGGCCAGAATGGTTTTATTACCAAATATGAAATGTCTGTATGTCCTGTGACATTTTCTATTTTCCTTTTGTTTAAATAAAAAAATCGTAATAAAGTACATGTTTAAATAAAATATATTTGGAAAAAAATCCCTATAATAGTTTTACCTTCAATCTCAGACAATATGAGGAAATTGAAAACTTCTTAGAAAATCTTATAACATTACCCGAACAGTAAATACTGTTTTGATATATTAAGATGAACAGAAAGTATATTAAAATTAGCACGGTCTGTGATAACAGAAACTGTTTTTTATACCTGCATTTTTCTATTCTTAGCCCAGAGAAAAAGGTCGGATGCGTTTTCACAGACTACAGAATGTACAAATTGCACTTGACTATTTGAAAAGACGCCAGGTATGATGCTTTTAAAAGACTATAATCATATAAACATATGTTACTAATACATCTACGTAGAAACATGTCAGGGAGTGACAAGGTTAAATTTGCCTGTGAATTATAACCAGTAAGCTTGTGCTTTGGTGAAGCAAATATTTAAAAACATGTTTAAACATTTGTTCCCAAGAAAAGGAAATTGATAGTATGGATAATCCCAGAGGAATTATAAGTGACTACATTTCCATTGGTATAAGAACTTCTGATTTTCTTTCTGTTTGATCTGGATTGCATTTGCCTAGGAAGTTAATGACATTTTAGTAGCAACAGAATGTTAAGAATGCCTATGAACACTTCTTAGTTGTGGGGAAGATTACATATTATGCTTAGTATATAAAAATACTTAATTTTTATAAAAATACTTTATATAATACTTTTAATTTAGTGTAAGCATTTGTCATACTTAGTGATAAGACAACATTTGTTTTTTTATAAGTAGATAATACTGGATAATGTATGAGTAGTTAAAGATACAACAGTATATTTCTGACAGTAGCCCCCAACTGAGTTGAGGTATCTGGAGAAATCTTGGAAAAGAATTAATAATATATTGGACATGATCTTGATTTGGTGGTGCTATGTATTGTAGTGTCATAAGCCAAAATAGTAGTAGTTTTTCAGTTACTAGAAAAAAGAAAAATAATGTAGGAGAGTTGAAAATTACTGAAGACAGTGAGAGTCGGGGGGCAACAATTTTGTTTTTTAATAGTTTGAAAAAAAGGGAGAGGCTGGATGTGGTGGCTCACGCCTGCAATCCCAGCACTTTGGGAGGCTGAGGTGGGAGGATCACTTGAGCCCAGGAAGTTGAAGATGTGGTGAGCCGTGATTGCACTATTGTACTCCAGCCTGGGTAACAGAATGGGACCCTGTCCTCCCCCCCAGCCAAAAAAAAGCAAGAGAAAAAGGGGGAGAGGTGAACACTAGCTTTTATTATTTCTTTATTATTCTTCTTCAATATTATGAATATTAAAATGCTTTTTGCTATTAAACACTAGTAAATCCTCAGTGCTTAAATATTTTAAATGTATTGGTGTTTGCTCGTTATTCATCTTTCTAGTGAAAGTTTCCAGAAGGATACTTCTGAAATGTTTTCTGGCAGTATTTTGTTCAAGAAGTAAAATGTTACATATCATAGTATATAATTCTCAGTATTTAATTCATGATATTAAATTATTTTGTCCAGGAAGTGAATGTTAAAGATCATTGCATTTATTTACCTGAATGTACAGTTTGACAGTTGATAAGCTTTAAATATGAGTATTATATTATTTTAAAATGTTTGAACAGCCTTCCGAATGCCCAGTGACTTATGTATTTATTTATGGCATATTGATAGCAAAATAATGCTTGTTATTTTAAAATCTTGTAGCAGAAGTTTGAGAAAGTTGTTAGAATTGTTAGAATAGTTTTAAAGTTAATGGTAAGAGTAAAATAAAGTTTATTTTTAAAAGACAAAATTATTTCTAATTTTAAGATGTCATGTATTTAAGATCTCTCACTTGAGAAGTTGTATTTTTGTATTTACAAGTGAGTGCTTTTGGTACTGGCTCTAGAACGGCAGTCCCCAGCCTTTCGGGCAACAGGGACTGGTTTCCTGGAAGACCATTTTTCCATGAGCTGGGTGGTGGGGCAAGTGGGGGTTGTTTCAGCATGATGCTGTTTCACCTCAGATCATCAGGCATTAGATTTTTATAAGGAGTGTGCAGCCTAGATTCCTCAACTGTGCAGTTCACAAATAGGGTTTGCACTCCTATAGGAAGCTCATGCTGTGGCTGATCGGACAGGAGGCAGAGCTCAGGTGGTGATACTCCCTTGCCTGCTGCACATCTACTGAGCGGCCCAGTCCCTATTGTATAGGCTGTGGGGTTGGGTTGGGACTTCTGCTGTAGAAGACGAGAATGCAATAATACCTGCTTTTTCTTTGTTGTTATTCAATAATTTGTAAATATAAGACGATTGAGAATAAGGGTAAAACAGTATTTGGGTGACTACTGGCATTTAAATTATTCAATTTTTTTCTTTGTATAATTTAGAATTGCTTTTATGTAGGTAAAGATAACTTGTTCAGGTTTGATAAACAGTTGATTTTATCTCTTCTTCACTTGCAAAACAGGTGAAATTAGTGAATATTAGAAATGATGACATAACGGATGGAAATCCCAAATTGACTTTGGGATTAATCTGGACAATTATTTTGCACTTTCAGGTAAGCCCAAATTTTCTTAATTTCAGCGTCTAATTGCTAGTTTTCAGGTGGTTCATATGAAGGGTGAATTATACATTCATGTTCTATGAAAGAAAAATAAATTTCAGGTTTCTTTCCTTAAATAATATATTTGAATTGTTCTTTTAAGCACCATGCTGCTTGTGAATCTGACACCTAGTTTCCTGTTCTTGATAAGCATAAGTTATAGTTTTAAAGACAATGTTTGTAATCTCAGAGTTGGAAGACATATTTCTTTTTATTGACTGGAGACACTTTTTTTGCTCATTGGAAAGTATTGCCTGTTTTAGATACTTAAATATCTCATCATTGGCCGGGCACGGTGGCTCACGTCTGTAATCCCAGCACTTTGGGAGGCCGAGGCGGGTAGATCACAAGGTCAGGAGTTTGAGACCAGTCTGGTCAACATGGTGAAACCCCATCTCTACTAAAAGTGCAAAAATTAGCTGGGTGTAGTAAGAAATATAATAAAAATTTTAAAAAAGGTTTCATGATTAGTCCTTATTTAGAATGTTTTCTATTGATAGTTTCTTAGCTATGTCAACGATTTCCTCCTTTGGTAGACACTAGATGGCAGTATAATTATCCTAAAGTGATGTGAAGTAGAAGAAAAGTATTGATGTTTTATGCGGAGCGGTGCTTTCTCTCTTTAGATTTGAGGAAAGTGCAAATTTATTGACTATGAATTTATCTAATAAATCTGAGCCAGTTGAGGACCGATTTTGGTTTAGTTATGGGGAAATGATACATTAAAAAAGTCTTCATTTGATTTAATGCGACTCCTAAGTTTAGAACTTTCTTTAGTTTATTGACTGCTGGTCTGATCAAGAAATGTTCTGCTACTAGAGGCTGCAGAGAGGGGGAAAAGGGTGTGGGCTGAACAACTACCATTTGGGTAATGTGCTCACTATCTGGGTGGTGGGATTATGTGTACCCCAAACCTCAACATCCTGTAATATACCCAGGTAACAAACCTACACCTGTGCTCCCTGAATCTAAAATAAAAGTTTAAATTATAAAAGAAAAACACAAAAACCAGAAATGTTCTGTGTACAGCACAGAGCGGCAGTCAGTTGGCACTCAGTACATCTTACTGATTGATTACTGTACAGTGGATCTTCAAGGAAGAAAAGATAGCTTGCCAGCTTCAGAAAGGACCTGGGCTTTTGAAACAAGTCTGGTAAAGATTAAGAATTAAAAAAAAAATAATTGGCTGAAATACAGGTTTCCAGACAAATGGTGGAGAATAATGTACCTGGGGGGCTCATTGGGAACAGGATAGATTGGACAGGTATGGAGAGCTATAGGAAGCAGAGTCTAGGCAGGTCTAGGACCTGAACGGCCAGCTGAATAGTTTCAGCAGAAGGACATTCACAGATACCCAGGTAATAAAAGGAAAAGATGTTAGCCATCCAGACTACAGGGCAGCTAATACAGGTGAGTATCTACTTAGGTGGGTTGTTAATGTCAAGAGAAGCCAGTAACCAGAACTGGAAGCCAGGACCTCAAAGGACTGAGGGTCCCCATTACTGGAGGACTCTATCATTAGGGGATCAAAGATATTGGACCTAAATGAAGGCAATAATTTGGCTTGAAGCACAGAACCAGACCTTGTTACCAGAATTGGGTGAAGTCTAAGTAGAATTGGTCAAAAAGCTGATTTCCTGTGGAGCGCTTCAGTGGTTTTGTCGGGAATCCTTTAATTAGCCCTAAGTGGATCAGATCCTAGAGCTTTTAGTAGGGTTGAAACTGCAAGAACCCCAGATGAGAAAGTGAGAGGCCTATGGAGAGAATCAATGACTCCACCACCAGCTGGTGAGGTAGGCTGTGTCTGAATTTTGAATGTTAGACCAAGGATCAGTGGGGCAATGGAAAGCATGCAGGCTTTGGAGGGAGGCAGAATTAAGTTTTGTTCTTGGCTCTTTTATTTATTGTTTGTTGTGATACCAGTGGATAAGTCATCTTACTACTCTGAGCTTAAAAAAAAAATGTGTTTCTGTTCATCACTTTCCTTTTTCTGCTCATAAATCTTTTTCAACGACACGACCTGTGCTGGAGTCTCTCTGAATCCATTCTGGTTTGTGGGTGGCTCTATTCCCAAATTGATTTTTGCTCAATTAAATTTTGGTAAATTAAAAAAAATGTGTTTTAAGAAACAACATCTATTAATTCTATGTAAAATAGTTAGAAATGAGCAGAGTCCGCAGTGAGAGGGATAAGCTCTGAAGCTGAGATGATGATCTCAGAGTGAAGTGATAAAGGTCAGGACTCAGTGATAAAGGTCAGGACTCAGTGATAAAGGTCAGGACTCAGTTGGGGATGCAAGATTGAATAGAAGAGATCACACTTTGAAGGAAGAGAGAAAGGGACTTGGACATAGGGCACAGAGGGTGAAAGAAAGAGATTTGTTAAAGGTAACAAAAGTTTTTAGCCTGAGAGATTAAGAAACAGTAGACTACTGAGAGACATGGGGGTGATGGTAAGGGGAAAACCAATGACCTTCTGGGTGGCCTTGATGGGCTGGTGGGATATCCTGTGCATCTGTCTGCTGAGCAGTTGGAGACATGAGTGGAGCTGAGAAGTCAGAAGTACAGATACAAAATTGGGGGAGTTATCACTACACAAGTGATCACTGATTTTATCAGAAAGAAGAGATCTTCAGGGGATCCAAGAGAAGAGCACAAATGGAGAATAGATGAGAGCTAAGGATAGAAATTTGGGGAAGGCCCATGGTCATGGGTGCGGGAGAAGATTCTGCTGAGAAAACAGAAAAGGAGCATTTGAAGAGTTGGATGAAGTAACAGGAAAATATACTGATGAAACCAAGGGAAGAGAATTTCAAGTAGAAAGAATGGTGAGTAATATGAAATGCCACTAGAGACCACAAGAAAATTAAGATGGAGTACAGGTCAATAGTCTAGAAAGAGGACATTGGAGACCCAAGCTCCTGGGAGCAAAGACTAGGAAATAACAAGCCAAAATTTGCAGAAGGGTTGGGAAGTAGAAGCAGTGTATTTAGAGGCTGAGTTTGAGAAAGTTTAAAGCAAAGAGCATTCAAAAAGGAATTATATACTAAGAGGGCCCTTTGGGGTTCAGCTGCCTTTGGAGGAGAGAGGAAGACTAGTCACAGAAGTACCAAAAGAAGTTTTGCTGACCAGGCGCAGTGGCTCACACCTGTAATCCCAGCACTTTGGGAGGCTGAGGTGGGCGGATCACCTGGTATCGGGAGTTCAAGAACAGCCTGACCAACATGGGAAAACCCTGTCTCTATTAAAAACACAAAATTAACTGGGTGTGGTGGCACATGCATGTAATCCCAGCTACTCCTGAGGCTGAGGCAGGAGAATCACTTGAACCTGGAGGTTGGAGGTTATGGTGAGCTGAGATCACACCATTGCACTTCAGTCTGGGCAACAAGAGAGAAACTGCCTCAAAAAAAAAAATAAATAAATAAAAAAGGGGGGGGGGAGCGTCCTTCCAGCGGGGCCGATTATTGAATAATAAAATACATTTAAAAAAAATGGATGAAGAACCTGAAAGAACTAAGCAATGGGAAGGAGGCAATGAAAGAACATGGGAGATTCTTAAAGAAGATGAATCTGGATCACTTAAAGCTACAATAGAAGACATTCTATTTAAGGCAAAGAGAAAAAGAGTATTTGAGTACCATGGACAAGTTCGACTTGGAATGATGAGTCACCTTTATGTGGTAGTAGATGGATCAAGAACAATGGAAGACCAAGATTTAAAGCCTAATAGACTGACATGTACTTTAAAGTTGTTGGAATACTTTGTAGAGGAACATTTTGATCAAAATCCTATTAGTCAGATTGGAATAATTGTAACTAAGAGTAAAAGAGCTGAAAAACTGACTGAACTCTCAGGAAACCCAAGAAAACATATAACATCTTTGAAGAAAGCTGTGGATATAACCTGCCATGGAGAGCCATCTCTTTATAATTCCTTAAGCATGGCTATGCAAACTCTAAAACATATGCCCGGACATACAATTCGAGAAGTACTAATCATCTTCAGCAGCCTTACAACTTGTGATCCATCTAATATTTATGATCTAATCAAGACCCTAAAGGCAGCTAAAATTAGAGTATCTGTTATTGGATTGTCTGCAGAGGTTCGAGTTTGCACTGTACTTGCTCGTGAAACTGGTGGCACATACCATGTTATTTTAGATGAAAGCCATTACAAAGAATTACCCACACATCATGTTAGTCCTCCTCCTGCTAGCTCAAGTTCTGAATGCTCACTTATTCGTGTGGGATTTCCTCAGCACACCATTGCTTCTTTATCTGACCAGGATGCAAAACCCTCTTTCAGCATGGCGCATTTGGATGGCAATACTGAGCCAGGGCTTACATTAGGAGGCTATTTCTGCCCACAGTGTCGAGCAAAGTACTGTGAGCTACCTGTTGAATGTAAAATCTGTGGTCTTACTTTGGTGTCTGTCCCCCACTTGGCACGGTCTTACCATCATTTGTTTCCTTTGGATGCTTTTCAAGAAATTCCCCTAGAAAAATATAATGGAGAAAGATTTTGTTATGGATGTCAGGGGGAATTGAAAGACCAACATATTTATGTTTGTGCTGTGTGCCAAAATGTCTTCTGTGTGGACTGTGATGTTTTTGTTCATGATTCTCTACACTGTTGCCCTGGCTGTATTCATAAGATTCCAGCTCCTTCAGGTGTTTGATTCCAGCATGTATACATTGTGTTAAAAAGAAATTTGCAACTGTGAATAAAATGACTTCTTTAGAAGAAGCTTCGTTTAAAACATGGAAAAAAAAAAAAAAAAATAGGCCGGGTGTGGTGGCTCAAGGCTGTAATCCCAGCACTTTGGGAGGCCGAGGCGGGTGGATCACGAGGTCAAGAGATCGAGACCATCCTGGTCAACATGGTGAAACCCCATCTCTACTAAAAATACAAAAAATTAGCTGGGCATGGTGGTGCGTGCCTGTAATCCCAGCTACTCAGGAGGCTGAGGCAGGAGAATTGCCTGAACCCAGGAGGTGGAGGTTGCGGTGAGCTGAGATCGTGCCATTGCACTCCAGCCTGGGTAACATGAGTGAAACTCCGTCTCAAAAAAAAAAAAAAAAAAAAAAGGAAGTTTTGCTTTTAATATCCTGTGGCATAATGTTCTAGAATCTATTGTATTTTAGGGCTTTAATTATAAGATGATGTAACAAATTATCACCAATATTTATGAATTAGACCAAGACCTATTTGGAATGGAACACATCTATGTTTTGGTTAAAGGGAAATGTTGTCTCTTATTTAAATAACTTTTTTGAGTACCACAGTAACTCGAGATTAGAATTGTTTTGGTTATGCCAAGATATAAAATTTAAACAGTGGTAATCATCCTCCGAGTGACTGAGCCTTTTTCTCTATACCCTACATAAATAATGGAAGCTATTTCAAAAGACCAATTTGTTTTATTTTAACAATATTTGTTATAGCACCATAAATGGAGTCTATTTTTCAGTCAGGCTTTCTGAACGTAAGCATTCCTGTATCATTAGCCACCATATGCCAGATCCAGAGATACTAAGGTAATGAAGTGAATTGTTCTGTTTATTGGGAGGGTGTACATGAAATTAACTATAACATAGGGCGATGAATATTATTGGTGATATAAATAAAAATAGAAATATTTGGGAAAGGAGCATTGTAGTGGGATTGGGATGGCTTTAGAGAATATGGGAAATTTTCACAGATATTAGAGATAGGCTTTGAAAGACTAATGCTGGTTACCAGGCAGAGACTAAGTTGGGCTCTTTCTGAGAGAGGTTGCAGGGTATATGGCCTAGAAATGAACAGCTGCTTAGTTTGGCAGGTGTATGAGTTCATTTTATGTTGCTGTAAAGGCATAACTGAGTCTGAGTAGTTTATAAAGAACAGAAAAGAGGTTTATTGGGATTATTGTGGTTCTGCAGGCTGTACAAGAGACATGGTCCTGGCATCTGCTTCCGGTAAGGTCTCAGGAAATTTTTCAGTCCTGGTGGAAGGCAAAGGGGAAGCAGGATTATCACATGGTGAGAGAGAGAGAGAGAAACAGAGAGAGGGAGAGAGAGAGAGAGAGGAAGATGAAGAAGAGGGAGGAGGAGGAGAAGGAGGGGGAGGGGGTACCAGGCTTTTTTAACAACTATTTTATTTTTTTAAGACAGAGTCTTGCTCTGTTGCCCAGGCTGGAGTGCAGTGACATAATCTCGGCTCACTGCAACCTCTGCTTCCCAGGTTCAAGCAATTCTCCTGCCTCAGCCTGCCAAGTAGCTTGGATTACAGGCATGCACCACCAAGCCAAGCTCATTTTTGTATCTTTAGTAGAGGTGGGGTTTCACCATGTTGGCCATCTGGTCTTGAACTCTTGACCTCAAGCCATCCGCCGCAGCCTCCCAAAGTGCTGGGATTACAGGTATAAGCCACCATGCCTTGCCTCAAATGACTAACTCTTAAGTGGGTAAGAATTCATTACTATGGGGATGGCACAAAGCCATTCATGAGGGAGCTGCCCCCATGACCCAGACACCCCCACTAGGCCCATCTTCCACATTGGGAGTCACAGTTTCCACATGAGATTTGGAGGGGACAAACATCTAAACTTCATCAGCAGAGATGGCGGGAAGGATTGGGGGAGTGCAGATCACTGGTTGCCCCTCCATTGTGTTAGTACAAATACCAGCCATTATACATTTATATTCTCTTGAATAATGTACTAGTCATTGCCTTTGAATACATTGAAAATCAGGTTAAAAACAAAAAAAATCTGAGACCTTATTTTTACCAGTCTGTCTTCAAGGATATTCAGTTTTTGCTACTGGAGAGTGTTTTCTTTTTAAATGATTAAGGAAAATTTTACAGTGGAGGATTTGTTATTGATCATCTGCATTATCATTGCTAACTTGTCTGTTTAATTGAATATTCTTACCTAGTAAAATATAATGCATTCCACCTTTTGATCAATCTAAAGACTACCTAGTGAAAGGAAATTATAAATTTTTTAGCAGTGAAATGATTTCTGCTTATATGTAAGTCCACTTCATGCTTTCCTATTTTTTTTAACCATATCTATGACTTAGTGTTAGAAATATGCACACCTTAGGTAATCAGGTTTCATACTGATTCATTATTTTTCCAGCAAGGCCCTCATAAAAACTGTATAATATTTAACTAGATTATAATTATAAAAGTTATATATAAAGTTTAACTGCCTTTTTATATGTATGAATGAATCACATGTATTTCCTTTTGCTCAGTGTTTCATGGTTTAAATTATATAATTTGTCTATTTGCTGATATTAAAGTCCTAATAATTAGATAAGATGATGGCTTAGAAATTTATATTATTTGAAAAGTATTATAAACTATTTTAAAAGATTGATTTTAGAGACAATTTTATTAGAGAATTCTAAACATTTAGCACTTACTATGTCTCCTTCTGCTAGCTATTGAATCATCCTATTATTTTTTATAACTTATTTTGAATAAGAGTCTTAATGTAATTTACGGAGATTTTTGAGCTTTTGGTTTGTTTCTTTGTGTGCAAGTACCAAAATTAGTTGATATTTCTTAAGAAAAAAAGTTATATGGTAGAGGGTAGAGAGTGTCTGAAATTCAATTTGAAAGGCACTTTGAAACTAAATTTGAAGGGCACTTTCCCAAATCTCTCCTGACTGGCATTTGCTTTCTGTTTGCTCCGATTTGTTGAACCACCAAGTTTCAAAGGTTAAGTGCAGACTTTGGTAGTGTATCTGCATTTCAGTAAACTGAAAGTTAAAAACAGTCATAATCTTCTCATACAGTGAAGCTAAGGGTTTGCCTTGAGAGCTCATCAGTGTTGTAATTTGACAGTGAGCAGTAATGTTTGTTTAAGAGGATTGGTGGCCAGAAATAAGCCACGGAGTCTAATGAGACACAGGGACCGGCTGGGCAGGATGCCACGGCATTTCTTGTGTGTGCCTTTCTCATAAGCAAAATGGCCTCAGACTGAAGAGGATGGTCATGAAGTCTGTGAGAAACAGACGTCAGAGTGGAATTTTCAGACTTAATGAAGAGGATCTAAGTAAGCCCTGGATTTTGAAATGAGTGAATTTGTGGAGCTGTGATCGCCTACAAATCAAATGGGGAATGTCTGTGGATGTGTAAGAGCTGAGAAAGAAGAACAGTATGTAGATCCTGCCAAAACTCCTTTGAACCCTGAAAAATACTCTCCCGGAAGAAAATATTTCAGAAGAAAACCGATCAAGAAAACTGGAGGTGACAAAGAGTTAGTTGAGGAAAACAATGAAAACGAAGGCAAGAAAAGAAGCCGCAGTCAGCCTTCAAAAGAACAGCCACCTCCTTCATCCAGAGGACTGGTACAGCAGGAATCTGTTACCCCAAACTCTGTACTGGGAGATGGTATTCAGCAAAAGAGGGGAGAAGTTGGAGCTGACAGTGTTAAACAGAAACTTCTGCCGGGTGCTGTAAGCAGTTGGTCTGACCATGTGAAAACTTCTCCTGCTAAAGACAGTGACACAGAAGTAAAAGTTGATGAACTGGATGAGAGAATTTCAGAAGAAGACAGCACTCCATATTGCACAAAGAGGAAGAAACATTTAGATGATGTCAACACAAGTGAAATAACATTCCAGGAAAAAATTGATGTTCTTTCTTTTCGAAAGGCAGCCAGCTTAAGCTCTATTCCCTCTGGTATAGCAAGATCACTAGAAAAAAGTGGGTTTGCTGAAGACTCATCAGAAAGTTATAGCAGTATTCAAGAAAGGCAAAACACTGAGCGATTTTGCCCTCATGCAACACAGCATTTTCAGTTTCAAAAAAGGAGATGCCATTCCCTCTGTACTAGTGTGTCCTCTGTTTCTAAGAACACAGGTGGGAATGAGGTAAGTGAAATGTGAAGTCTGAGTTCAAGTAAGTAAGTATTCCAGGTGCTCACGTCAAACTCATATCTAATTGGTTTTTTATAAAGTTATTTTTATATTAGTTTATGTAAAAGCTGCAGAGTTTTTGTTGCATTTTATTTATAGCCTTAGGTTTGATTCTTATGCTTTTATTTTTGTGCTGTGCACATTCTTTGATCACACATTAATCTCAAAATCCTGTACATTTTCATTATTGGTGGAAGACTTTAAAAAGCACTGCATTCAGAGAGTGCATATCTTTTGAATTTTTCTAGTTCGTGATTCTTGACTTTGCCTGTGAAATAGCCTGTGGAAACTTAGTTTGACTGTAGGTGAAAGTTCAGTTAGAAAGTAGTCATGAGAAGACAATAGCTTTGTAACAAATAATAGGATACTGTAAAATTATCAGTCGATACCGGCTTACTGATTCATAAGTTTGAAAAGCCAGATTCTGGTTCTTTATTGATTTTCATGTGCAGAAACATTCACATAATTGCCGTCAATTCTGTGCATATGTTTTGAGGGTTAGGGCACATCTTCTTTCTTCCTTTGTTAAGTTATTCTCTATCCCCAGTCTAAAATCAGAAATTGTTAGGGTAGCATGCCATAGGAATTTGAATATCACACAATCAGGAAGTTGAGGTCTTTATTCCTAACACTGATACTTAGCTTTAGACAAGTTACTTTAGACAAGTAGCTTTAGACAAGTTACTTCTCTGGGGTTTTTACTTGTCTTTAAAATGTGATTAGATAGATATTTACTTGCTCACGAAGTGTATTACCCAAATAACCGCTACCTGTTACTACTCAGGAGTTGATGGCTTTTTCTTTAAGCTATTCCTAACTTTATCTTTTAATAAAAAATCTGAGCATAAAGAATATTTGTGTTGTTAAACAT